TGTTCAGCTGCATAAAAAAAAAATTAAAATCGGAAAACTCCTTTGTGATAAATGTTAACATCAATATACATGCACAGGTTTGGAATGAATTTGTCATTGAACAAAACTTGTCGTGATTAAAATATTCATGATGCTAATTCAATATTTTCTTTGGCCCCAAATACTGGATTTACATGTTCAAAAGGTCATGTAGTAACAATTTTCACAGCACCAAATCTTTTGCCAAATGGAGATACTAAAACTGCAAATTGCCCGACAATGCCACCAGTGATGAAGACTGCCAAAACATCTCAAGCAGTTACATTGTACAATTAAGGTTGTTGCCGGATTTGTTGGCATTGTTCTATTGGAAACTGATTCAGAAACACACAATAGTTTTGTTATTTGTGCAATCAACATCTTGTAAAAACCAGTACTGGATACCACAGACTACAGTATAGCACGACTGTGTCTTGTACTGGCTGAAACACTTAGTTATCATATGTTTGTATCAACAACATAATGCTAATCTTTCACATGTGCTATATTCTTGACTGTAGGAATGCTTGTCCTGCATACACTTAAAGGGTGCTGTATGTTGTGCCAACTATGGTTGACGCCTTGTACAGTAATTTCTGTGAAGCATGTGTAATTAGAAAACACTGTCACAAAGATGAGACATGCTGATAAATAACAATACAATTTTCAATTTGATAACTTGCATATTACATGCATTTTCAGACTCGTGGATACATGCAATGGACACACTAACAGACTATGATGAACTCAGATCTCAACCAGATTATGTGTGTGACATATTCATATTATCCCAAGATTATAGGCTGTGTATTTCTATTCATAAACTAAAAGATCAAATAATAGATTGTTTTATACACATACAAATATTGTAAATCAGTGTTCACTTCACTGATATGATATGATAGAAATCACTTGCTGAACATAATGACTCTGAGTATCGCAGATTGATATTTCTGTCATCAATTGAATTTTTAAATGTGTATAAAGGTATATAGTTCGAACAATGTCAATCATTTGTTTGTCCTCTGTCAATACTGAACATTGTTGTGGGTGAGAAAGTGAATTTATGACACCAGTGTTGTGTCTGGTAATTTTTAACAATTATTTGGGTGTAATTATTTTCATAAACTTGGAAATATATGAAAACATTTATTCAGGTAGTGACAATTATTGAATTAGTGCATTCAAGTGTTAATAGACATTACAATGAAAGTTCAGTTACCAACATTAAAGCAGAAGTTTAGAATCTATTACAAGTAAAGAGCTTAAAACAAATATACTGGAGATAGAAATTTAATCTTAACAATGTGTATTGCATGGTTTGATTTCTATGCAAATTGAATACATGGTTTAGAATAGGAACACCAGAGGTATTTTGCGATTCAGTTAAGTGTGTAACGTATTGACCATTGCTATGTAGACAGAGAATCTTGTAACAAAAATATTATAGCTAGAATATGACATTTGTGTCCTAACAGCTGGACTCCTAAAACTCCTAAAAAAATTGTTTCGTTGCCCTCAGCGACCGGCCAAAAAATATGAAATATCGGGTCACGTTTTTTTTAATAGGCCCAAATATTAAAAACTCACCATTTTAAGCAGTAAAAAAGTGTTTCCTCTAAAAATTAACGATCCCGGACCGGTGTTTGATCCCCAGGGTTCCTGGGAGATAAGTGGCGACTTTGAACCTCGGGTTGATCTGTATTTCTCTGACATGTTCGGAATACTATGAAGTCTGAAGAGAAAAAACGTTTTTTGCATTTAAGGCCATTTTGACATTTGTGATTCGACGGATAGTTGGTGCACAATATTAAAAATATCACCGCACCACGTATTTTCTTAATTAAATAAAAACATTATTTTGAATCAAAAACAATTTGTTTGTTGTAGTAAATATAATTTTTAATACATAAAATGCACATAATTTTATTGAATTTACAAAACGTGACATTTTATATAAAAACTCTGATCCGCTTACATCACAAACAAAATGACTGCTTTTGCACATTGTTTTAGCGCTGTCAGTATTCTCACTTCCGGGTTTGTCATCGTGTGTACATACATGTGTACAGCAGTAGCGAACATGGCAAACACGTTTTGTTGTGTGCATGACAGCAAAAGCTGGATCAACTATTGAATTTTAAATTAAAAAAAAAATCCGACCGACCCAATTTTTCAATTTTCCGACTTAAGGGCAACATAAGTTTTTTGTTGTTGACCTAATGTATTTTAAGCACTGTGATTGGTGAGATCAACAAAATGCTATGTTATGCATAGAGCAAAATTTCACAATCTAACACAATGACGGCATACTAGGATAAGCTACAGAATTTCTTTCACTGGGCTTAAAATGTCGATACAAGTACTAGTGAAAATCTGTTATTGATTCAAAGACAATATTGTCTTTGATTGATTGTTTATAAGTTTTCTTAAGTTACATGCATAAAAAACACCCAATTATGTGAATTATAAGTATTAGTAGTCTTTTTTTTTTGGTATATCATGCATCAAGATGACTGGATATAATTCAATTGATTATACCAATTTCAATCTGTATATTTTCCATATTGCATACATTTAGTTTAAAGAGTTGTAACAGTGAAAAATATGTGATACTGAGGTTGATCAATACGATTTCATGAATGTGGGTGAGGTTAGAAGTGACATGTAGAAGATTGTAGCCCATGCATAGGACAAAAAGATATACATTCACAAATAGTTCAGTGATCTCTTTTTTTTATTTTTTTTAAATGTATAGGTCCAGACATAATATCTAAAAAAAAACACACAAAAACTATTTTTATAATGATTGTGTTTGACATTTACACCACAGAGTTGAATGTGTCAACTTGCATAACAATAATCAATCTTTTCACTAAGTATTAGAAATTTTCAAAAACTTTCATGACACCATATTGATCAACCTTAAGTTAGCCTAGAATCTTTGTAGTTTTCAAGACCTCTGCAATAAATGCTTAAAATAGATGATCACTCCACCCTGGGCTGTACATTGTCATGGTGTACAGGTTTGTGTGTCTCTGTGAGCAAAACCTCCTGATAGGTTCAACCAAGCTAGGTACATGTAGGCTTTGGAAGAGAGACCCAACAAAAACAGTTTACATGTCATCCAGGTTGGGGGTTGGGCATGGTGCTAACAACTCCATCCCATAAACTGCAAAAACAACAACTCTATATTCTACAAAGGGTCGAACAGTAAACTAGCAGCCTTATGTCCCACTGGGGATGCAAAGGAATGAAGAAGATCATCTAGGTCAGGTTATATCTACACTAATTTATTCAAAACTTGTATACAGTGGACTGACTTAAATTCACTGGAACCAAGGTATTAAAGTAATACCTTAGGTTTGGGGTGTAGTATGAATGCGTAAAACACTCATGATCTTTAGATGTCTGAAACTACTCAAGATGACTGTATTTTCAAATAACTAATCAAATATGGTCAATGATCATTATTATGTTTATTATATATGTAAATCACATATGTTCCAGGGAAGTATTAAATTGTGGCTTGCAGGTAACCAGACATCAAACCTACTTATTCTGACATTATCATTTGTAATATAGTAAAAAGGTTGATGACATTTCATAAATATATTGTTGATATTAATTTACATTATGATTTCTACCTAGTATCTACAAAATAAAGCAAATACACTATAAAACGCTTGCTTTCAAATTTGATGGAATATATTCAATATACTTTGTATTATTGATTTGTTTGCGATCAAATCATATTAAATATAATCTACAAATTAAAATATGTACAAACTAGTTTTATGTACAACTAAAGGATTCCTGCCAAGATCCAAGACATTTAAGTTTTCAATCAGGACTTACGGTATATAGTGATGGCGTGTATGGCAAGTTTGGCATCACTATATAGGCCTCTTTAATTCAAAAAAATATATATATATAGTCCATGCTCTATGGGTGGTGTTACTTTAAACAGGGTCGGAAAATTTGTCAATATTCAGAAAAGGTCATTTATTATGTACCAGTAGTTTGTATGGCCTATATATCAATTTAATACTTATTGATGCATGGAAATCAACACGTTGAATTGATGGAAACAAATTCTTCATTTTGCTTTTGAAAAATGTGGTCAAACTTTTAGCAGAATACTGGTAATTTAAGTTTTTGGGGAAAAATTTATTTTTCAGCAACAATTTCAAAATATTGTTACCAGCACTGTTTATAATATCTCTTACAAATTAAGGAATAGATGGTGGTGATGTCACTTCATTAGTATATGTACTCACATTACCGGTAAAGCACTGTTACCAGCACTGTTTATAATATCTCTTACAAATTAAGGAATAGATGGTGGTGATGTCACTTCATTAGTATATGTACTCACATTACCGGTAAAGCACCTTTGAAATATCTCTTTGAAAACCTATAAAGGCAAGCAGCGTTGATTTAAAACAAAAATCAAAGTTCCACCCATCTGTTACCATAGAAATAATCAGGCTACCTCATCTTTAAAGTGAACTATCACAATAACTAGAAAAGTTAGAATTAGCAAAATTTTCTCTCATGTTATGATTTTGCAATTTTTCACAATCAACCAGCCATCCATCCATCTTTTGACACTAAGAAACTAAATCTTTATGTACTATCGAAAACTTTGTCCAGTCTGTGTAAATTTTTTTGATAATTGCACTTGACTGAAAATAAATTCCGAAAAATAATCTATTGTATTAATTAGAAAATTAACATATCAAGGACATCCCATTATGAGTGAAGGGGGTGACATACAACACATGGATGCACAGTGATGTCAAATACAAATATTGATTCTATACAGATTTGTAAATTAAAAAGTTGTGCTCAGTAATTAGCATTTCCTACAATCACACTCCATGATTCACAAACATTCAATTTTTCATTTCTCTCGATATCTACATACAAAATACAATTCTTTTGTAAATGATTTCATGGAAACAAGGGCTTTTTAATTTCTAGATGGCATCATCTTGGTAAGGTATTGAATTCGCATAACATCCACTGTTTAACTCTATTTCTTCACGTCCACTCACTTGGTATATTCCGAAATCTTTTGTAAATCTTTTGGATAATGGTGTTTTTTCATTGACTGATGATTGCTGTATTGTCTTGTATCTAAGCTGTGGGATCTGTAAGAGAAACCAAAAGGTCCACCATCAACAAAGATCACAGAGTGTGTGTATAAGGATCTGATCCAACATTGGCCAGGTGTATACTATTGCGTTTTTTTCAGAATTAGAGGAATGAAGTACTTTTTGGATTGTTCACTACATTGTCAGGAATCAATACATTTACCAATATTAATGACTGCTTGAGATAAATAATATATGTCTATGATGGGACTACAAAGTTTTAGCTTTCTTTACACTATATCAAGCTGAAACACGGCCATACAAACGAATATTTGTAAGAACAAATCTCATTGGTCAATCATTCATACGATTAGCAAACCTTATATTTTATTAGTTTTATCCCAACAGGAAGACAATCTCAGTTGTAGATGTCTGGAACATGTATTTTTTGGTTATACCATTTCATCATATTACATTCCAAACAGATATTATCATTAATGTTGTAAAGAGTGAATACTATAATTTAATCCTTTGAGCGACAAACTCAAATTTGCTCATTTTCACAAAATTACACTCCTAACAATATGCTAATGAGTATTAACGAATAATATACACCTCACCTACGAAGGATAGTGCTTGATTTGTTGAAACCAAACTGCACTACGGTTATTAGCTAAGAACATCTCATATTTTGTTGACACAGACGCTAAACAACTAATGCATGCATAGAATACAATAGAAGATCTTAGAGTGATGGTTCATACTATAAACATACGAGTGAACAGGAAATCTAGAGAGTACAAGTGAGATTTATCTCATTGCAGCTTCTACACATTATTCAAAGCATGAAAACACACAAAGCAACAAACATTTCAATTCCTTTGTAATAATTGTATACAATATAGGAAATGTCATCCATGTTGATTATAATAATCAAAAGTGAAATAAAAATAACTACAAAATGGCATCAATGGTTTGATTCAATAAATACTCAGTATATTGCCAAAATAGAAAGAAATATTCAACCATTGATATATCACTAAACATCGTGTCAGTATAAATATAAACAATATAAATAATATAAATAATCATAAACAGTTCCTGAAGTTTCCATCCATAAAATAGAACCATTATTAATTTTTAAAAAAATGTTAATTTCTAATAGTTTTGAACAATTTCAGAATTATGGCCAATCTTTGCAACACTATTGGTAATATTAATTGTTATCATATTCATTATAAAGTTCAATCCATCACTACCATATATACTAAATATCAATCCATTTTCAAAAGTTATATTTAGCAAGAATTACTATAAACTACAATTAATTGTATACTAAAACACAAACTACAGCAAAAAAACTTGCTAACTGACAAACAGTTTCACTTTATCATGTCCATTGAAACATTTGACCATTGATGTGCTAACTATTCTAAAATACATACAAGTGCATAACATATTTTAAGTATGGTACATATACATGTAGATGTAAATGGAAAATAATCCAGTATATTTTTTTTGGAAAACTTTAGTGACAATTTAACAAAAAAGGCCAATATTTTAAACAACTGATCATTTGCATGCCTGAGAAGAAACATGGGGGAAAAAAACAGAAAAAAGATAACAAAAAAAATGATGGGTGCTAGGCAGCCATATTGGATGAGACAACAAAATTGATTTGATTGGAATCAGCTGTGTGATCTAAGAGAAATGGTTGCAGACACATTTTACGATTTGGATCGTCAGTCAAATTTCACTGGATCCAAAAAAAAGTGATGTGCACATGTACCAAGTTTAAAATACAGAAAAGACTCAAATTAATAGTTCTTATTTATAGTAATTAGTGATGAAACTGTCATGAGATTAGTATAATTAGTAAAAGGAATTTAGTAACAGAGAATTCTTAGAGACGCAAAATGTCCAGGCATAGTCGCATCAAAATTCTCTTAGAAAATTCACTAGACAATTTTAATACGGAATAATAATGTTTTTAACATATTTTAGATATAGTTGAATAGAAAACTGAGAGCGTACTCATACCCAGACATTTACGAAAATTTAAACAAATTCAAAGAAAGGTGTACTACAATACAACTACAATTTCAGAACATGCAACAGCGAACAAAAATCAAATAACAAACTGTAAATATGAACTTCTAATGACTAAACACTGTCAACAGATCAAGGTGACAGGGATTACATTTTTGGTATTTCTTGATGAATAAAAGATTCACGCAAACAGTGATGACAATGTGTTGCTTTTTGTGGTGGGAATGAGTGGTTATACATGTATTCAGTTATTAGAAGTTCATACAAAATAACACTGTAAACAAAAAGTTTGGATTTTACCTATAAGATGTGTATGTGATTGTGTTATGTTCAGTTGACCTGTTCGCTTTGTAAATGAAAATACGAGTGATGGATTCTGGTTGTTATGGTAACTGCCACGTGTAAAACGTTGGTACTATAAACAAATCAATGATTATATGTTCATGATTAGATCTGCGACAGCCAGAGATAAAATCCTGAGGCGGACAAAGATAACAAAACGCCAATTCAACCTTTTTTTGAAAAATATTTCAGCAAGCCAAAACTGATGGAGTACAAGTTAGTGTCAGAGATTATGAAAATACAGTGGATTCAAATGCTTCCATATTAGAATGATAAAGCACCCTCAAGTTAGTGGCAACATGCTGATTATTAAGAGTGTTTGCAGATTTTAATGGTATAAGCAGCCTGAGGTTTTGTTATCTTGGTAGCCTGAGCATCCCAGCTCATTTCTAATGATCAGACCTATGGCACGACATACATGCAATGTGTTGCCAACACATGGACAGCTGCAGAGCTGAGGACCATAGATGTAATTGAAAAAGCTGAAAACTTAGAGAATCATATTATAGTACAGCTTTAGATGGGATAAAAATCATGTACATCTTGCAGCAGTCACGTTTTTGTTTATTACTTCACACCCCCCCCCCCCCCAAGATGAAACAAATTTTCATTAAATTTTATAATGCACTGCATACAGAATTAGTGAGAAAATTTTCAATTTTTTTATTGTAAATAATGAGAAAGGGATTCACCTGGACAACTAAGGATATCAGCTAGCTTCATACCCTGATGCTATCCACTAGATCATCACAGGCATACAATTCCCTCTACAAAGAGATAAAGCATGTACTAAATCAGAGACAAGTTTTCAACTCTTCCAAACAATCCCTCGACCTTTACCCTTTGACCTCTCACCTGTGGTCACAGGTTGCAATTCGTGATCGGCGTGATCAACCATAGTATGTAGATGATTGACCTCATGAAACTAGAGATGATTTTTTTTTCGGAAGAAATAAAAATAAAAATGAAAGAAAAATAGAAAAAAGATTAAAAGCAAACAAACTTGAGAGCAATAAAATAAAGAGACAGTAAAATAATAGCAAGATATTAAACTATAGCGAATCACATTTATTCTGTTTTTCACTAACTGAATACAAAATTGAGAAAAAAAACAAAAAAACAATATACATTCAAACTTGTGTATAGCGTCCAACCAAGGGTCTTTATCGACAGGTGGTCTTTATATAGGGTTTTTTTTTTTTTTATGAATCACCATGAATAAAAATAATGAGCTTGCACCAGTGGCAACAAAAATGCTATAATTTAGGTTGATTATAATTTAAATCAAATAAGACTTGATGAAATTGGTCTTTAAAGAATGGCGAACCTGCCAAAATATTGCTGAAAGGGTGGTCTAATAATGGTCTTGGATTCATAAGTTATGCTTTGGAATTGAAAGTCTTCATTATAATCAGGTGTTCTTTATATAGAGGTGGTCACCAACACAGATTTGACTGTATTTATGCGCAATAATGTACACATATCATTAATGAAAAGACATATTTTGTGTCAGTATTTTTTTTTCTTACTTAACTTTGAAATAAAACTAATTTTAATATATGAAGCAAGTTTTAGCAAGATTGTTAAGATAATCTCTGCAGCTGTCAGTGTCAATATATAACATACAGTAAACATGTACATTAGAGAGGGGAATCAGTGCTGGTAATTATATGAACTAAGCTAGAGGGTCTTGGACAGATTAAAATGGGAAGAGAAGGCCGATTCTTTGTGTCCATGCAACGGAAACCAGTAACCATTGTTGTATGGATCAAGACAACACGAGTGCCTGTTTAATGGGAAGAGCAGTTTTCAAACTAAAAATATGAGAATACTAGAACATGTAATATGTAAGCTTTCACATACCATTCGTACAAGCTACCTGTGTATACAAGGATTGTTTTCCCAACAGAATTATACTGACTTCAAAAGGGAGAGGAATGAATAATCAGTGGGTCAATCTGATGGCTAGATGGAATGAGTCAGGTAGAATGTAATAGACACCACATTGCCTTGTATACTTTATTATTTACGCCATAAAATACAAACCTTTAGTGATTTAAAGCATACTTACTTATCGATGTAAAAAAGAATGACAAACTCACACTGCTATAGAAAAATACAAATTACATTGACAACAAAGTGTCTCAACTGTTAAGGCAATGTACGTACATGTAGCTTACATGACAGAACATACTGCAGAAACTACTAAACAGTTTTTACAGTCGTTGAGTTGATGAATTATTTGGCTGTCACATAACTAACTAACTACTCACTGTCATCAAACTTTTGGAATGAAAAATCAGCGTAACAAACAAATGTGAGCAAATCATGCCCTCATATGTCTCTAAAATGCACCTTTTGACCCGAGATGACCTGTAAACCAAAAACACCAGTTACTATAGCATAATTCGAATATCAGTCATTCAAGACATGCAGACATCTCATTCAATACAGTCCAATCAATTCCTAACGAGAAAGTCAGCTTGAGTTGTGGTTAAACTACTAAAGTATGCAAGTGTTTGGGCAGTCATTAACCCCATGCCTTGATATTTGGGTCCTGCATAGTAACTAGCCCTTGTATACACTGGAAATAGACACTGTAGGTAGTTTGTCAGCAATTTTATCTTGCTTAGCATCAACAAAGTAACATTTTAGTTTTCTTGGTA